AGACGTCAGACTCACACCCCTGCTTCTAGCCTGTCCTTCGCCTTCCCCCAAGCCCTGCTGTTTGTCTCGGGAGGTCAGAAGCAGTGACGTCCCCTCCTTTTCCAGGCTAAGCAGGGGGACACACTCCTAAAACAGAGCTACAGGCAACGCTCTATGATCCGTCTTTGGATTCTCCGCTGAGTGGGTTCTCAGCAGAAAAGTCTTCGGTCTCAAACGGTGTTCTCCTGGCTTAGTCCAAGCCATGGCAAAAATACCATAACCCGGTGGCTTATACACAACTAGTACTTATTTCGCACAGTTTTGGAGGCTAGAAGCCCACGGCAGGGGGCCAGCACGGCCAGGTCCTGCTGAGCGCCCTGCTCCCGGCTGCGGGCTGCCCAGCGCTCTCTGTGTCCTCGGGTGGACAGGCAGGTCCCCTGGCGTCTCCGATGGGGGCTCGAATCCCACTGACGTGGGTTCTGTCCTCATGACCCGATCAGCCCTACAGGGCCCACCGCCTGGGGCCGTCACCTTGGGAGTTAAGAGTCAACATAGAATTTTGAACACGGGACCCTGTCACCCGCTGCCTCTCAGCGCAGACCTGAGCTGTTGTCAGGCCCCTTCCCTCCTCCTTGGTGCAGGCTGGTTTGAATCGGTCTTTCATTTTATGCTGCTTCCGATTATCCACACCGCAGCCCCATTTATGATCACAGATGTCCAGACTGAAAGGGCGTCTGAATGCCTCCCAGAAAAAGCCGGCCATGTTCTCCCAGGGCCCCTGCACAGGGTCGGTATTTCCAGACCGCCCCCGCTTGCTTCTTAGGGCTCCCATGCGTTCCGGCTGTGTCCGGCCTCTCGTGTGATGAAGCCGGACATGCAGACAGGACTCAGCTCCTCCCCTTGCAGACGCGGCCAGAGATTTCCAAGAACAGCAGCCTCCCCCTACCCCGGCCCCCCAGATAGGACAGCCACCCTTTTACCCCAGTGGCCTTCTGCTCAGAGGGGCTGAGCTCTGGGGGGCATTCAGCACCCTCTACCCAAACCATGACTGTAAGTTAAAGGTCGTAGCTAAGGAAAGAGGTGGGCTTCCAGCACAAAGGGTGGGCCAAGGCCCGGGGATGGTGAGTGGGAAGAGGTCGGAGGAAAAAAATTCTTGGCCAAGTGTGCACCAGTGAGGCCGCCTGAGCACGTGGAGCCTGCGCCTCCACCTCTCCCCTCCTGCCCCGGCTTCTCCCTCCTCGGTGCCCCTGAGACCCAAACGCCTTTCAGCCTCAGTGCTTAGATTCATGCTGTTTGCATAAACACGGAAGCTGTGAAGATGTGTTTGGCCAGGCTGTTAAGCCCCTGGGTACACAGGCTTCGCCTGGCCACAGCGTGAGGATGGCGGGGCTACAGTTGAGGACAGCTGGAAAGGCTGGACCCCTGGCTGGATCTCTCCATCTCTCGCGCTGTGAGTCCACGAGGGAAATATTTAACCACCTGCACGTCCAGCTCCAGCATAACAGGCCGCCTCAACGCTCTGTGCCGGCGAGGCAGTGAGACACTGGGAGCTTGTGGGAAGGGCCTCAAGGTCCAAAGGATGGGCGGGCCCTGTGGTGGAGCAGATTCAAGGTGGAAAAAAATCTCCATCCCGGGTGCATTTGGGCCTCATGTGTCGCTCTTCCTGGCTTGGCAGGACACGGAGAGGTTCCAGGCCCGCAGTCAGGAGCTGGAACAGAAGCTGTTCTCCAAGGAGCAGGAGCTGGAGCAGCTGACCCAGAAGCAGAAGCGGGTACACTCCTGTCCGTGTCCTCAGAGGGTCAGACCCTTCCTCCCCCTCGGCTCTGGCTCCTGCCCGCTCTCCCTGCCATTTGCTTAAGGACTTTTTCTTTTCATCTGAGAAGAAGCATTTAGCTATACAAAAGAGAGCATTAGAAATTATAGGTAATTCCAAGATAAAGCCTTCACCTCTCCCGTGCCAGGTGTTGCACTTGGGAAAATTGCCGAGAATTCCCCCTCGAAGTACCTGCAGGCATCATTGCATGCTTCTGCCCAGGAGCCACCAGAAGGCCAAAGTGTAACATGTTTCCTGTATCCTGTGTGAGGCAGGGCGGGGATGCTGAGGTTGGCGGGACACGGTCACTGATATCTGGGGGGAGGCTGTGGACTGTCACGTCTTCCTGCCAGGATGGCCAGGGGTGCCTCCAGGTGGAAGAGGCTCTTCAAAGGTCAGCTTGGCCATCCCGTCTTCTCGTGTGCCAGACAAGGTGCACCAGCGTCCTTTGGGACGGTTCCTGTCACCCTCCAGGATGGAGACAGGCACCTGAGCGCCAGAGACGGGCTGAGTGGTACACTGTGTGGGGTGGTGTCCTTCCACCATGGCTGGGAGACTGATTACCGAGGCACACCTCACGCTCGCAGCCTCCTCTCCAAAGCAAGGGCTCATAGAGGAGAGAGGCCCGGACTCCACTTGGCCTCCTGTTTTGTTTTGTCTGATGCTGGAAGGAATCCAGCCCTGGACAGACCCAGACGCATTGCTTCCATGTGAATAGAGAGGGCTGTTTTTAGCGACACATTAAAGTGCGCTTGAAGACACCCCATGCTAAGGCTGGAGACTGCATCACTCCCGTGAGCACCCAACCTGCAGATTTTGGTTTCTCTCCTGCAGCAAGACGCTCTCAGAGCGTTCCCCTCCCCCTGCACAGACACTCCTTGTTCCCTTCCTCCTCCTCACTCCTCTGCATTAAGTTCTTACCAATTAGATTTATCCTCCCCTGAATGATTGCCACTCCACTTAATTACTGCATGCTCGCCTGATTACACAGGAGCCTCTTGAGAATCATACAAGATGCCTTGTTGCGGCCTCCTCCTCCTCCTTCTGGCCACGTTCATTGCACTGAACGTGTGATGGTCTATTTGCCTTGGTTTGAGTCTTCCTCTGGTGAGAGGGCTGGAAGCACTGCACAGCATCATCACCAGCCAAGGAAAGCTGAGGCGATACAAACGCAGGGTTTTCAGTTGCTTCAGGGACGTGAGAAGTGGTGTGTGTCCGGTCTGACCTGTCTGAGCTCTTCCCTGAGAGTTTCCAGGGTTTCTGGCTACCCACACCAAGCTTCTCTGGATTCAAGGCGCTGAACTGGCTCAGCGGAGAGGAGGAAAGGGCTGAACGGGTGGGCTCTTAGGACTCATGACCGGGAGGGGCGGTTTTAGGAAAACGGCATCACCTCCATCGAGGACCAAGGAAAGGAAATCGGCGTAAAGGAGAAGAGGGAGTTAGGTCAGATCTCAAGGCCACCGATGAGACCACTGATGAGATGATGAGGCTCTCTGTCACCGGGGCAAGGGACACAGACGACGTGGCGTTTCCTTTCCTGGCGGTCTCTGGGTGGCGCCGCTCCCGCGGCCTGTTCGGTGGCCCCGCGGAGACGGGGATGGGACGAGGTGTGCTCTGGAAGCCCGCCTGCCTCCGAGAGTGTGTGTGTGTGAACGACGGGGAAGACAGAGCTCCCCGAGGCTGGAGGCAGTGAGGGGCCGCGGGGCAGGTTCAGCCCAGCAAGCGGGGAAAGCGGCGTGGCGGGGGCAGGCCAGCCTGACCATGGCGGTGCTCACCCTCTGCACACCCCTGGCCCCGGTTCCTTTCCAGCTGGAAGGCCAGTGTGCCGCCCTGAGCAATGACAAGCAGGAAACCAGGGCCGAGAACACCAAGCTGAGGCTCACAAACCAGGAGCTGGCCCGGGAGCTGGAGCGGACGGCCCGGGAGCTGCAGGAAGCGCAGCAGCAGCTGGAGAGCCTGCAGCGAGAGGCCTGCAAGCTGCACCAGGAGAAGGAGATGTGAGTTCAGCCCCTGCACCCCCGCGCTGCCCTACGGGCTCCATCCCCTGCTGTGAGCCTGTCAGCACTGCCCCCACCCTCCCGACCCTTCTCCTTGCTCATAACATAGGGCTGTGGCTTCTTGGAACCTTTGTCTCGGATCCTGAGACCAGTAAGCAGGCCAGCTCTGTGCCAGGCGTTACTGGGATGGATGAGACACGCAGAGTCTCATTCTGGGGAAATGCACTATGTAATTAGACAGACACTGTCCAGCCAACAGGTGGAAGGCGGGCTGCGGGAGAGCTGAGTGGAGCAGAGACCACGCGTGGCCGTTGTGCTCTGGAGACCTGGGAGACCGAGGTGGTCAGGGCAGAGCAGGGGGACTTCCGAGGGCAGCGTATGGTTCCGTGGGCCCCTGGGAGCTTCCCTCTGCTCTGCCTGTCCTTTTCCCCAACCAGCCCTCCTCTCCGGGGTCCCAGTGGGGAATCCCACGTCTCTCCCGGCCCGGTTTGCTGACAAACTGCACCTTTCAGTGTCCAGGGCTGGGTCTGCACCTGAGCGAGAGGGGTCCCTGAGGAATGAGTCTCAGGAGCATCCGGCTTTGAGAACAAGTGTGTTCTGAGGCCCGGGGGGGAGGAATCCCACTAGTGTATCCGTTCATCCGTGGATCCGTGCTTTCATTGGCTCAGTCACGTGGCAAACGTTTGTTGAAAGCTACTCAGTTCAGGGACTGTACTGGGCACTGAACATACCTCACTTGGGTGGAAAGTCCAACGTTATCTCATTGGACCTTCTCAGCATCCTCATGTAGCAGCTACTCTTATTATCAGCTCTGATTTACGGACGAGGAAACCGAGGTCCAGAGGTGTTCAGTAACTGTCCCAGGATGTTAAGTGCTGGCCACACGTGGCTGACTCCAGAAAGTGTGTGCACAGGATGGGGACCGGCCATCATTCACACACTCGTGCATTCACTCTGCAAAATTTACCTGTGTGCTTGGTCCCGGGCCGAGCAGGGTATGAAGTCTGATCGCAGAGGGAAGAGCCGTCTTACTCACCCAGGCTTGGTGTTTTCCACATGTTAACAACTCTCCTTGTTCAAAAGCCTTGACCTGAGTGTTGGCAAAATGTTGGTCCATCGGCCTAGATCGCATGGTTCGCTGTCTGACTCACATGTGGGGTGCTGCAGTGGTTGGGACTGAGCGGGGGGAGAGGGGGGAGATGTGTTTGGGTTTGGAGTTTTGCCCGAGTGAGATATCTCCCGCTGAAAAACAGATGCATTCCCAAGCCGTTGACTGAAAGCACAACCAGCCCTGCCGTCCCCACGCTTGGGGCACCGGAGGAAGGACAGTGTATTTCCTTGTAAACAAGCAGAATCCTTTCCTCCTCGTTGAGAGCAGGTCAACAAGGCGTTTGCCTTGACAAATAGAAGGAAGGATTCGGGCTCTTAAAATTCAGTCAAGTCCTAAAAGCAGCAAACATCTACAGGCTGGAGAGCAGCAAATGGAAACGAGCAGCCACGCACCGGAGCCAGGGTAGCGGCTCAGCGTGGGACCGCACTCTTCCTCAAGCCTCATCTTAATCAACCAAGCCGGAGATGCAATCTCTGGAGGCTGGGAATTGAAACACAGGGAAGGAGGGTTAGGAGGGAGAGACAGATGACTGCAGAACCTCAGGACTTGTCTTGCGGCATCTCGTGCAGCCGGAGGGCGCGCTGGGGCCCAGGAGAGCGAGCCTTGTCTGGGGAGGCTGGGAGAGGAGGGCGGCCTGTCCTCTGCAGGGCGGGATCCCAGCCCAGCGGTGCTGATGGGACCTTCATGCTCAAACCCGCCTCTTCATTTGACAAAGGAAAGAAACTGAGGCTCAGAGAGGGACAGCGACCAACCCATAGCCAGTAAGCTCGTTAGGGCTGGAAAACGAGGTCAGAGCCCCGTCCTCCTGACGCCCAGGTTTCCCTGCCAGTGCCCCGCTGCCTGACACTGCTCCCGAGCAGCTGGGCGCCAGGAGCGGGAGCTTCTGGGTAAACAGACTGCGTGGTGCGTTAGCTAGAATTCACAATGGGCAAAATTAATCTTCCTGTGCTCTGAAGGTGCTCAGGGAAGGAGAATGAGATTTTAGAGTCAGATAAAGAAGGAGCAATCAAGCAGGAGCGGTAACAGGAAGGGGGGTTCAGCTGCAAAGCAGCTCCTCTGTCTGTGTTGTTAATTACCTTTCCCTCTGGGTAGGTCGTTAATGACAAGGCACAAATTCGACCGGCACAGAGGGAGGTACACTCAGAGGCTGGCCCCTCCCCTGACTCCTGGCCTCCCGTCACCCCTTGATCCTTCCAGAGTGTTCCTCCGCATACGCAGGCGGGCGTGGACACACACACACACACACACATTTTTCATTCACAAAGCAGCAGCACACGGTGCTACTTTTGCCTGCATCTTTCACTTGGCGGATCTTTTGGCGAGCGCTCTGGTTTTCATTCCTTCTCATGAAAACAGCCCACAGCTGCTTCCTCCAGGCAGCCACAGACCTCTCACCAGTCACTACCACGAAATGGCGAGTTCT